TAGTAGTAGCAGTAGCAGTAGTAGTAGTAGTAGTAGTAGTGGCAGTGGTAGTAGTAGTAGTAGTAGTCGTCGTGAAGTAGTAGTAGTAGTAGCGATCATAGTATTAGTCGTAGTCGCCGTAGTAGTCGTAGTCTTAGTAGTAGTGGTAGTATCAGTAGCAGCAGCAGTAGTAGTAATAGTAGTAGCAGTAGTAGTAGTAGTCGTAGTCGTAGTAGTAGCAGTAGTCGTAGTAGTCGCAGTAATCGTGGTAGTCGTGGTAGTCGTAGTAGTCGTAGTCGTAGTCGTAGTCGTAGTGGTAGTAGCAGTAGTAGTAGTAGTAGTAGTAGTAGTAGTAGTAGTAGTAGTAGTAGTAGTAGTAGTAGTAGTCGTAGTCGTAGTCGTAGTCGTAGTCGTAGTCGTAGTAATAGTATTAGAAATAGTAGTAGAAGTATTAATAGTAGTTAGTGTCTTCTTGGCCTGCTAGTTAATAGTAGAACTTGCCGTCCTGGCCCCCTCTCGCATCTTCTTGCGCTAGTTGGCCTGGATGGCGGTACACTTCTGGGCCGTAGGGACCAGCTGCCCTCGGACAAGCGCCTGACGCTGCATGCACGTCAGACCCGCCCTTTCACCCAGAAGAGGTGCCCGCTACATACTGGCAATGAGGCGGCCACAAGGACGCTCTTCCCAAGGTGGTTGAGCCGTGGTGATGTGGTGCACGAGACCGCCAGTAGTAGTAGTAGTAGTAGTAGTAGTAGTAGTAGTAGTAGTAGTAGTAGTAGTAGTAGTAGTAGTAGTAGTAGTAGTAGTAGTAGTAGTAGTAGTAGTAGTAGTAGTAGTAGTAGTAGTAGTAGTAGTAGTAGTAGTAGTAGTAGTAGTAGTAGTAGTAGTAGTAGTAGTAGTAGTAGTAGTAGTAGTAGTAGTAGTAGTAGTAGTAGTAGTAGTAGTAGTAGTAGTAGTAGTAGTAGTAGTAGTAGTAGTAGTAGTAGTAGTAGTAGTAGTAGTAGTAGTAGTAGTAGTAGTAGTAGTAGTAGTAGTAGTAGTAGTAGTAGTAGTAGTAGTAGTAGTAGTAGTAGTAGTAGTAGTAGTAGTAGAAGTGTAGTAGCAGCAGGAAGGGCAACCCAGCGGCTCGTGGCAAGACCCGCCACATTGCTAGCTTCTCGTTATGGATGGTGATTGTGCCCAGGGTGCGGCGCGTGCGCTAGCCTCTCTTTCCAAGCCGACAGCGCCAATACATGATTGGCATCGCCGATGCATCGGCGATGCGGCGCGATCCTCCGACCCCATCTATTCGGACCTCATCTAGGAGGCCTCTCATACTTGGAGGGGGAGTTGCGTCAGTTGTTGGTGCAAGAGAAATTTCGCGCTCCCGGCGGAGCGTTCCTCGGCTAGATGTTCCCGACGGTTTGCGTGCATCGGGGTGGCGGCAAAGAGCCCCTTGAAGGCAAACATCTGACTTTCAGTGAGCTCATGGTCGGCTCTTCGCGCAGTGGCTGCACTTCGCGTTCCCGCACCGCCGCCCTCTCCCGCCGCACCCTCGCTTGGGGGGTCCTCGGCAGTTGCCGAGTTGCTGCGTTCTTCGACGTTTCGGCATCGCGCACTCGCGCGAGACTTCCTCACAAACTTCTTAGGAGCCTTGCTCTCGACTGAAGGTTCGAGGCCTCTGGGGGCCGCAGATAGGAAGACCTATCCATAGGACGGCGGGGCCGTCCGTCGCCGTCCAAGATTGCGGATCACTGTTTTTGGCCGTTTCTGGATGTTCGCTGGATGTTTGGGGAGGAGGAGGAGGGGGAGGAGGAGGAGGAGGAGGAGGAGGAGGAGGAGGAGGAGGAGGAGGAGAGGGAGGAGGAACAGGAGAGGAGGAGGAGGAGGAGGAGGAAGAGTACGAGGAGGAGGAGTAGGAGGAGGAGAAGAAGGAGGAGGAAGAAGAAAAGGAGGAGGAGGAAGAGGAGGTGGTGGAGGAGGTGGTGGAGGAGGAGGAGGAGGAGGTGGAGGATGAGGAGGAGGAGGAGAGGAGGAGGAGGAGGAGGAGGAGGAGGTGGAGTAGGAGGGGGAGGAAATGGAGGAGGAGCAGGAGGAGGAACTGGAGGAGGAGGAGGAAGAACATGAGGAGGAGGAGGAGGAGAAAGAAGGAGCAGCACGAGGAGGACAAGGAGGAGGACGAGGAGGGGGAGGAGGAGGCCTCTGTCGTCAACGTCGTCGTTGTCGTCGTCGTCGGGGGCCTCTAGAGACCCTCTTGGCCAGTATTGGCGCTCTCTGGTCTCTTGAAAGGGCCGGGGTTCGCCCAGAAGGTCGTGCGAGCTGCCCGAAAATCCGGCAGTTGTTGCTCTGGGCGCTTCAGAGAGTGCTACGTTCGCCGATGCAGAGGGCTCGAAGGGACCAGGGGACACTACACTTAGCGCCTACGGCACGGCGGCGGATGAATCAGTGACACGCCTGGAACAAGCCTCTGCATGCGAGCGCGGTGCCGAGCCGTACAGGAGGTAGTCTCTGCACTGCCCGTCTGCAGTTTTCATTTGTCATAACGTACCGACTTTTCTCCCAGCTCCTCCATTCCATCCTGTGACCCAGCCTTGTAGTCGGAGGAGCTGGACTACTTGAAGGGCGCTGTGGACAACCCGGTGAAGCCAATGGCGGCCATCGTGGGCGGCGCCAAGGTGAGCACGAAGATCCCGGTGATCGAGTCCATGTTGGAGAAGGTGGACAAGGTGATCATCGGCGGCGGCATGGTGTTCACCTTCCTGAAGGCCCGCGGCCTCTCGGTCGGGAACTCCCTGGTGGAGGACGACCTCATCCCAGTCGTGAAGAAGCTGGAGGAGGAGGCCAAGGCCAAGGGCGTCGAGATCATCCTCCCGAGCGACATCGCCTGCGGCGACGAGTTCCCCGCGGGGGGCAAAGAGGTCAATTACAAGGTGGTGCCCGCGGATGCGATCCCGGACGGCTGGCTCGGCCTGGACAACGGCCCGAAGGCCACCGAGGAGATCAAAGCCGCCCTGGCGGATTGCAAGACGATCATCTGGAACGGCCCCATGGGAGTGTTCGAGAGCCCGCAGTTCAGCAAGGGCACCTACGACGTTGCGGAGTGCATCGCCGAGCTGACGGAGAAGAACGGCGCCATCAGCATTATCGGTGGAGGGGACTCCGTGTCTGCGGTGAACAAGTCCGGCCTGGCGCCGAAGATGTCGCACATCTCCACTGGAGGCGGTGCCAGCTTGGAGCTTTTGGAGGGCAAGGTGCTGCCGGGTGTGGCTGCGCTGGAGGATAAGGAGATGGCCGCCGCGGCGTTCTGCGGACAGCGCAAGGCACCCAAGGCTTCCAGGATCAGCCGTCAGGCCAAGAAGTCTGTGGAGGACCTGGGCGAGGCTGACCTGAAGGGGAAGACGGTGCTGATCCGGTGCGACCTCAACGTGCCCCTGAACGCGGACCTGGAGATCACGGACGACACGCGCATCACGGCCTCGATCCCGACGATCGAGTACCTCTGCGGCAAGGGGGCCAGGGTACTGGCGTGCTCCCACCTGGGCCGCCCCAAGGACGGGCCCGAGGAGAAGTTCTCGCTGAAGCCGGTGGCGAAGAAGATGGGGGAGCTGATGAAGAAGGACATCAAGTGCGCCCCGGACTGCAAGGCAACCGACGAGGTGAAGGGGATGGTGTCGGCCATGAGCGACGGAGACGTTCTGATCCTGGAGAACACTCGGTTCTACAAGGGGGAGACCAAGAACGACCCTGAGTTGGCGGAGAGCATGGCCAGCCTGGCGGACCTCTTCGTGAACGACGCGTTCGGCACCGCACACCGCGCGCACTCCTCCACCGAGGGCGTGACCAAGTTCCTGAAGCCGAGCGTCTCTGGCTTCCTGCTGAAGAAGGACTAGGGGAAGGGGTGTTGAGGGGGACGCCCTTCTAGAGATGAAGTCGGGTGGGTGTGGCGGTGCAGGCAGGCAGTGTTGATGCCATGGTCTGCCGTGAGATTGGTTGTGGCCATGGGCACACTGCGAAGGCCTTACGGCCAGTGCCTCCGACCCTGAAGGCGGGACCTCCCCCGAGTTTCCACGCTGGCGACCCCCCCGGAACCGCCGGGACGCCGGGGTGGGTGGGGCGGTATTCTGACCTTGGACCCCCCTACCCCCCTCTCCCATCCCCCGCCCTCCCCCCCGTCAGGGAAGGGAAGAAGGGAAGGGAATCGATTTCACTTCGTAACTGCGACGTTCCTTTTCCTTGTACCTCAATTTCCTTGCGACTGGCGACGACGACGACTCAAAAGGGAAAGCGTCTCACACACCGAAGGGTCGCCGCATTTTGATTGGTAAGTGGAAGATAAGGTTCGATTCGACCCAGCATTTTCGCATACCCTGCCCAGGCATTCGACTGTTCTTGCGAGAAGCTGCGCTCAGATATAGTAGTGTCGAGGGGTTTGCAAGGTCACGGTCTCTTTGAGCTTCGTGGGATTACCTTCTCTGAGTGTTGGGTGTCCAGTGCCCTAGGATGACAAGTTTCTTGCCATGTGAGGGCATGGTGGACGACAGATTGTGAGCAGTTTCGGCCCACTGGAAGCTGCGCTAGAGAGGTACTCGTCCTAGTCTCTTCACCTCCCCCGGGCCAGTATTGCAAATGTCCAAGCTCGCGTCCCGTCCTCGCTCACCCCACTCCCCAGCCCTGGAGGAGCTGGACTACTTGAAGGGCGCTGTGGACAACCCAGTGAAGCCAATGGCGGCCATCGTGGGCGGCGCCAAGGTGAGCACGAAGATCCCGGTGATCGAGTCCATGTTGGAGAAGGTGGACAAGGTGATCATCGGCGGCGGCATGGTGTTCACCTTCCTGAAGGCCCGCGGCCTCTCGGTCGGGAACTCCCTGGTGGAGGACGACCTCATCCCAGTTGTGAAGAAGCTGGAGGAGGAGGCCAAGGCCAAGGGCGTCGAGATCATCCTCCCGAGCGACATCGCCTGCGGCGACGAGTTCCCCGCGGGGGGCAAAGAGGTCAATTACAAGGTGGTGCCCGCGGATGCGATCCCGGACGGCTGGCTCGGCCTGGACAACGGCCCGAAGGCGACCGAGGAGATCAAAGCCGCCCTGGCGGATTGCAAGACGATCATCTGGAACGGCCCCATGGGAGTGTTCGAGAGCCCGCAGTTCAGCAAGGGCACCTACGACGTTGCGGAGTGCATCGCCGAGCTGACGGAGAAGAACGGCGCCATCAGCATCATCGGTGGAGGGGACTCCGTGTCTGCGGTGAACAAGTCCGGCCTGGCGCCGAAGATGTCGCACATCTCCACTGGAGGCGGTGCCAGTCTGGAGCTTTTGGAGGGCAAGGTGCTGCCAG